TTTTTTTTTTTTTTTTTACTTTGATATAATTGCTGCTTTAAAACATGCCTTTAGCCTGTCTCTATACTCCAATTAATTAACTACTAAATTAGTTGCTGATTATTTCAGTAATCTATTAATCCAATTAATTTTTTCAGCCCCATACACAATATGGCATTAAGACCTCATGGCACTCTGATTAAAAGCAGAGCCAAACTGCTGGTGGGGGAGATTTAAAAGCTCACCTGTGATTCACTGCTTTGCTCTTAAAACTCAGCACCTGCGGTTTCAGAACCAGCTCTTCACTACAGGGTCATGTTGTGCTTTTTGATTGCGGACACGTGTGTCTGGTGGGTGGTACGGTTTTTGCAAGGACTTTTACTTAATACAGTAACTTCCCTGCTGCCTTTTAGTGGAAGTAGAGGAGTGAAGTAATGTGCTGCAACTTTGAGTCTTTCATCAGCTCCCTACCATCAGAGCAGAAGCCCTCTGGGCTCAAACATCACGTCTCCTTTCACAAGATGAAGCGGTAGATGAAGGTTCAGAGTGAAAGAAGAAGGTGTCACGCTGCCGCTCTAACCAGCGTGGCCAGTGCCTTGAAGTGGAAATGAGTGCAGGAGGGGAGGTGTGTGGAGATACAGGTGTTTTTCTGCACTCTAAAGCATAGCTAAACCCAATTACATTTGCAGTTCATTAAGGTTTTCTTCTCTCGACCTCCTAAACTTACCCCAGATGCCAGCTTGAGTCGTCATTCATACATTCGCTCAGCTATCAGATGTGTGGGATAAACAGATTAACACAAACACCCTCTGTTTATTATTCCTGCCTCATCTTCCTCCTTTGCATTTTTGTCAGCTGTGCCCTCTGATGTGTTTGGTCTCCAGCGTGTGCGAGAAACAGCTGCCAAGAGAACCCCCCCCCTCATCTTTCTCCACTACACTCCGCCTCTCTGCCAACAAGTTTCATGCTACTCTCTGTGAACCCTGCAATTTTCAAACAAAGTAACTGCTCTGTTCAGCAGTGACATTTCTGTGGCCCAGTCTGGGAGAGGAGCTGTCAAGATTTCTCTCTCTTCCATCATTAGCCGCACACGTGAGCTCACGCTCACAATAGCTTCAGCCGTCAAGTAAACGGTTTAAACGCTGTCAGCCGCACGGTGTGCAATTACTGCTTAAACATTCATGCGAGGAACAAGAGGAGACCGCCTCATTTATGTTTAGTGGATTTTTTAAAAAAGTAAAGAAAATGCTTGGGCGCCACTGAAGTGTTGAAGCACATTAAATGCCTCGTCTTTGAAGGAACAGGTAGGACGGGCCTGACTTTGATCCTGGATACGCCTGTCATCATTAAGCCCATGGTGCCTGCTCCACTTTTCATTCCCTCTGTGTTCCTTCTATTTTCAACCTTTGGGTTTATATAGAGGTGTAGGTGATGTCAACTGAATGCTAAGTAAATGAAAGACCTTGGTTTCATCCTGTAGGAAGGTGTGTGTTTTTCTGTGCTGGACGTTTTACTGTGAAACTCAACAGATTCTTGACTCACCTTTAATCGCAAATCCAGCCAAAATTGAAACAGGAACAAAGTCTGTCTCATTTTGCTTGTGAGGGATTTAATAATAATAATAATAATGATGATAATAATAGTGATAATATCAGGATTTTTATTTTTTATCCATGAAGAAATTAAAATATTGCAGGATTGACCTTAAAAAAAATAATAAAGTTCCAGTTTATGATCAGGTTAACTGTAAAGTGCCTTGAAATGACATGTGTTGTGAATGGGTGCTATATTAAATACACTGCACTGAACTGAATATTACTTCAGATAAACAAAACAGCATTTAAATCAATACTTACCTCTACCAAGGGAGAAATGAATTGTTCCTTGGCATGAGGCTATCCCGATAAAACACTTCCTTAAAAACCATTCATATGTTTTCAATTGATCCTGCTAACAAACCAACAACATTCCCACTTCTTTCATAATTTTGTCTTCAGTAAAATACATTCAGACTCTTTGAGTCAGAGGCTGTCAATACTCACTACTGCCACCCTCTGGTTTAGTGGGGAACTGCTTGTTCCACCACAAATCCCTATCTCACAATGTTAGAGAATCTTTTTTTTTTTTATCCTGAGTCCAGAATATGATCTGGATCATCACCAAAATGTAGTTTTTAATATCTGACTATAACTTTTTAAGTTATCCTTTAGACAGAAGGACAAGCAGACACAAACTCTTTTAAAAACAATCTCTTTGGTGGAGGGAATAGTTTGCTATCCTAGTGTAAGAGGGCCCTCCTTGCCCTAGTACTTGCTAATAAGTAGTGTATAAAAATAACTTCCTGAAAACTCCTGGAGCTTTGGTTCAAACAACATATAGGTTAGCTTGTGGTTGAGCTGCTCTTTGCTGGGCTCTGTCATAAATCGACAGATGTTTGGAGATGAACATCTGTCCAGCAACTGGATAATCGAGTGTCATATTTGGTAGAATTTTTTTGATTTTGCCCCACAAAGATTGAATATTCTGGGGTTTTCAGCAGCAAGGCAAAAATTTACAACAGAAGACAAAATAAATGTTGAACTTAGTAGAATCAATAAAAAAATGTAGAAAAGTAAAAAGCTCGTGTAACAACCTGGACATAAAACAGCAAGAAATAATTTACAAAAAGAATTGAAAACAATTTACAGCTGAGACATAAACAGCATTCTGAGTATAAAGTATAAAGTATGGTTGAAACAATTAATCAGATTAATTGTAATTAATCGATTATTGAAATAATCATCAACTAATTTAATAATCAATTAATCATTAAGTGGAGTATAAAGACTCTAGAACATGCCTTTAGCTGAAAGAGAAACCCACTTAGAGTAGTAATTATGAAAAAATATATAAATATATTCCATTTAAGATAAAGAAAACCTTTTCATCTGTCAATATGCTCTATCCTTACCTTGTCTAGTTGAAAAATTTTAGTTTCACCTGAATACATTCATAAAAAATCTTCTATAAGGAACCTTTCGCTATCCGATTATTAATCGATCAATCGTTAAAAAATAATCAACAGCTAATCAATTTGTTAAATAATCTTTAGTTGCAGGCGGAGTATAAATTCTAAGAGCTGCTGGGAGGAAAGAAAGATCTGGGTTAATGTTCCTCAGTCTACCTGGAGTACAGCAGTCTGTCCAGCTCTGCATCAGCTTCATACATAGAGTTGGAGACATTGTTTTAAATTGTTCCCCTTGATGTAATTTTTTTCCAAAGAACTGTATCTCCTAACACCTGTACTGGGTCTGGTGATCCCCATGATGTCACCACGTTTTAGTATAGTGGGTTTTCACCTACAGAGATCTACCACCAGATCCTTCTTCCAGTCCTGAGTCCACTATCGTTACTCAACTGGACTGAAAATCTGATTGATAAGTCTGATGACCTCCGATTTAAGCCTTTTTTTTTTTATTACTCCGAGTCTGTATCACAGTTTTCTTAGTTCTTCTGGAGGTGGCTGCCAGGTGAGCTGATGAAGTTGGTTCTTTGTTCAAGCAGATTCTCTGGTGAAGGGAGAGAAGGTGGAAGATGGGGAGACATGGTTGAAATCTCTGTATATCAAGAAAAGGGCCGGGGGGAGGCTGTGTTGGAGTCTGCTCATATGTCAGTATGTTTTTATGTACTGTGATAACAAAGATGCAACAATTTCACATTTTTAAAGGAAAAAAATGCCTCCAAACCCAGAAACTAGATCATATCATGTTATCACACAAACTGAAATCATTTCTGTGAGGAAGTGTTGAGCATTTATTTAATACAAGAAAAGTTTTGATTGTGTCAAATGTTTACAGATTTATTTGTTAGGTGGAGGTGTAAAGAAGGGATTTCTTGCTACCGCGTCATCTCTTTTTGTTTCTATGGTTGTGCACAGGTTTGGGGAAGGGTAAGAGGAAGACGAGTGCCCGTGATCCGTCCCCTACACCGAGCTCAGACGCAGAGTACCCCTCCAATGGCAGCGGGGGAGGAGGTGGGGTTGGAGCAGCGGAGAGGATCTACGACCTCAACACCCCTGCTGTGGTCAAGTTTGCATACACAGCAGAGAGGGAAGACGAGCTGACCTTGGTCAAAGGCTCCAGGGTGATCGTCATGGAGAAGTGTAGCGACGGTTGGTGGCGTGGCAGTCAAGCCGGCCGCGTTGGCTGGTTTCCCTCGAACTACGTCCAGGAAGAGCTCACGGGGGGCGACGACAGAGAGGCAGATTCCTCGCGGGGTTACCTTGGAGTTCCTCGGGGAGGTCTGCTGGCCAACGGCCAAGCAGGCGGCAGGGGCGTCGTCCTCCACCTGGTTCAAACGCTCTACCCTTTTAGCTCAGTGACAGAGGAGGAGCTTAACTTTGAAAAGGGAGAAATCATGGAAGTGATAGAGAAGCCAGAGAACGACCCAGAGTGGTGGAGGTGTAAGAACTCTCTTGGCATGGTGGGCCTGGTGCCTAAAAACTATGTGATGGTGCGTGACGAGCAGCCCGGCCCACCCTCCATGTCAGGCTCCCCACAGAACCGCTTTGCAGCTCCAGCGCGCTCGGGGAGGTTCGCCGGGAGGGACTGGTACTACGGCAACATCACTAGACACCAGGCCGAGTGCATACTCAACGAACGAGGAGAGGAGGGTGACTTCCTCATACGAGACAGCGAGTCATCGGTGAGTCATTTAGGTGATGTCAGGACAAGCTGACACAATGTCTCGTTACTTTTTATCACTCAGAGATGAAGAGCGTACACTAGAGAATGACATGAAGAGCCAACTGAGGTGTAAGAATTTAACCTACGTCTGATGCCAACAGTGTTTTATAAACACATGGTAAAGATAACTGTTTACATGCAGGTACAATCAAGTTTAGTTTAACAGAACTACCCATAGTTTCTTCAACCCATATTGGTTGAATGACTGCTCAAAGTAAGGTAGATGCATCCTGGTGAAGATTTTAGATCTAAATTACTAGTTTCACTATTTAAGTATTTTTGTTTTATTTTTGAATGTGCTCTGTACAGAAGAGGATTAGGGCCACTGAAAACATTTTTAAAAAGTTAACTGATTTTTACATTTTATTTCAGTTTTATATGGGAAGAAAGGTCAGAATTCTGACTTTAATCTCAGAATTCTGACTTTAATCTCAGAATGCTGACTTTAATCTCAGAATTCTGACTTTAATCTCAGAATGCTGACTTTAATCTCGGAATGCTGACTTTAATTTCGGAATGCTGACTTTAATCTCGGAATGCTGACTTTAATCTTGGAATTCTGACTTTTTTTTTCTGAGAATTATGACTTTAATCTCAGAATTATGACTCTTTTCTCAGAATTCTGACTTTTTTCCCCTATTAAACTGAAATAAAATCCTAAAATCAGCAAACTTTTTTGATTTTTTTCAGTGGCCCTAATCCTCTTCTGTAGCTCTGTCAGATTTACAACTAATTAATAGTAAAAATGTAAATATTGGTGCAGGATTCAATATTTTTTCTGTGGAATATACTTAATAACACTTATTCTCTAATAGTTTATTATTACATTTTTACATTCCTTGATTTGGTTAGTTATTAGGCTTCCACTATTTTTTCTTCCTTTGTGAAATTTACTTTGGAAGTTTGCACACCAGTTGATTCCTCTAATAATCATTAAACATCTTTAAGTCTAAAGAGTCAGTACATCTGTGAGCAGATTTTTAAGATGTTAAACCGCTTTAACAGTAAGGGATTTATCATAATTTGGTGCTTTAAGACCCTCAGTTAAAGCCCCAGCTCCCAGTTGAAGTGTGTGCAGATAAGCCAATGCTGCCATCTGCTGGCCAATCGAACTCTGTCCTTTGTTTAAAAGTCTTTTCCTCTTTGTCTCCCTGTATGGTTTCTAGCCCAGCGATTTCTCCGTGTCTCTGAAGGCGGCGGGGAAAAACAAGCACTTTAAAGTGCAGCTGTCGGACGGGGTGTACTGTATCGGCCAGCGGCGGTTCAACTCCATGGATGAACTGGTGGAGCATTACAAGAAGGCCCCTATCTTCACCAGTGATCATGGAGATAAGCTGTACTTGGTGAAGGCCCTGCTGTGATCTATACGTCTACACTGGATCCCCCCACACACACACTCTCTCTGACACACTCACACATACGATCCATCCTTGTCTTAACCCAAGCCTTAGCTGTGGGCCCTTCCCGCTGTGGCGTCCGTACCACATCCGGATCCTCAGATCTCTTGGATTTTCCGAGCAAAAACAAGACAAGCTTTTTTGAGTTGTAGCTCATGGCTGTTTTTACCGACGACCCTCAGAGAGCCATCACCGAGCCACATGGAGAACAGTGCGTACAGAGCCTCTGCTATCTTGGATGTGCTAACATGCAGTGAGCAGATTAGCTGCTAACTGATCGCCTTAGGCCTCGCCGGAGGTTGAGCTCTCCCTCTGATGTCATGCATAATGTCTACGTACTAGCACGCACATTGTCACTCACACCTTTGCTCTTAATTTACGTTTAGCCGTTCAAAGAGGAACTCGGACCTCAGTGGGACCTAACTGTCATGCCTCATGGCAGGCCATGTTTTCTTTTTTTCTTTTCTTAAAGGTTGAGTTTAAACGTTATTTAAAATCATCTTCCTTAAAGTTCTGTAGAGTTCCTTTTTTCACAAAGTGACCATAACCACTCTTTGGCCTTTTTTTTCCTTCTGATTTTTCATCATTCTCCACTCATTTTTTTCTGTATCTAGTAAATGATTTATTACTAGTGTTACTTTAATTACAGACAACACTCACTGTAGTATTTCTACCAGACGGTGCAATAGAGGAGACCTCAGAGTTCCTGTAGAGTTTGAATGTTGATCCATGTAACCAAACGTGCCACCCTGTACCCACTACTGCTGGCTCCAGGTCTTTCACATTAATCCACAGCTCAGTGCTCATGCTTTATATTGTCAAGTTGAAAACGTTACTGTTTTGTTCTTTAGTATGTGTCTGTAGCTACATGAGGAAGACCAAGAATAATAAAATCTTTTTTGTTTTGTTTTGGTAAAGCTTCCTGAGTAACTCTGTCTGTGATGTGATACAGTTCAGGATAAACAAAAGTACCTCTTCTGATGCCATCTTTGTAATTTAAGAAAACAGTTTGGAGCAAATATTTATGGAGGACTAATGGGTAATAAAGAAGATCCTGATTTATAAAAAAAAAAATCTATTTACGGATTTGTTTATGAAACATTTAACTTTACAGATCCAACTAATTTCATATGTTGGCAGCTCCAAAAACGTTTATTCCTTCTCTGGATAGTTTACTGCCTGTTAGCAGTTAGGACAGCTCAATGTTTATGTTTAGTCACGTGATATTAAAGCTGCAGACAACTGATTGTGAAATAAGTGAGTTTCTGTAGACATCCTGGACCCTCCATGTTTGTTGCCACTACTGCTAAATATGTGTAAAAAAAGAAGGAAAAATCATTTCTAAAGATCTTTTTTTATTGGATTTTATTTTTGACCTTATGTACTGCCCCCCCATCACTGTGACTGGTGACTGGATGGTTCTTGTGTGGTTTTTACTTCCTGCTCAGACTGTTGGTCACATTTGGATGATTAGTTGCTTCTTTTGTGTCCATTTCATGACCTGTTTAATTGATCTAACTCTACCTTAATTAAATGACATGATTTGTTGTCTTATTTTAAAAGGGGGCCAAGTGGGTTAAAAATAGTCTTTGCTCACTTCACATCAATTCAGATTGTTCATCATCTCTTAAATTATGTTAAAAAATAAACTTTACTTTAGAAAGATATGCTTGTTTCATAAGAAAACTCATATCATAGCTTTTTCTAACAGAAACAGTAAGTTATAAATGACTCTTAACAGAATGCTCAGATCAATAATGAGGGGAAAAAAATCTTTAAAAAGTTGTAAAATGTATTTAATCAGATTTAAGTTCAGATTATTCTCAAATTTCAGCTAGAAATCAGTTTTGAGGTAAAAGAGAAATATTCTCATAGGCTTTCTACACATGTTTAACAGGGCCAGAATGATGGGAGGGAGCGTTAAGTACAGCCTGAAACTTGTTTTTCAGACATTACGTAATGTTTGATCAAACCTGGGAGTCAGTTTGGAATTAGTCATCATTCATTGTTGAGAAACCAAAATATCGTCATCTAACTTAAGACTAGAAATCTTACACCTGTTTCTGTGCATTTGTTTACCAGTGGAAGTGTTGATCACGGGGTCCTCAGCTTTTATTTGATATATATCTGAATGTTAATGAGCACTGCTATTTAATTCCTATTTCCACTGTATGTATATATTCAGATAACAAGAGGTGCATATATGAATCACTAAGATCCAACCTATGGTACTGTATCGCCAACAACGTGATGAGAAATGAGATACTTTAGTTCAATAAAACTTTTTGACAAACGTTCATGACTGGTTAATGTGGGTCTGGGTTTGCATTGGGGCAGAGATTTCTTTAAAAAACTGTTTAGTTTTCAGTTTTTTTCAATTGAGAGCTTAAGATTCTTATTAGGGATGCACCCATCTGATATTTTTATCAGTATCGGTCCAGATATAAAGAAAAAAACTACATCGTATGGGTGACAATTGACCCGATTCAGGAGCCAATCTATTCATTCTAACTCTATTCTATGGCTTGCCGTCATGTGGCAGCGCAACAACACAACACGATAGAGCGAGCGAAAGGATCTGCGGTGTGGTTTTTCAAGCTCTCTCAGCCTACTAGCCCAATGGTGTGCAATATTTATTGGAGAAATGTTCCGAGGGGCGGTGTTAAATCTTCAAACTATAACACAACTAACTTCATGAAACACCTCCAGAAGTTTCACAAAAGGAACATGCTGAGATTATGTGACTCGGAAAACAGAAAGGATGCAGCTAACTTTGATGGAAGCAAAGGTAAGAAGTGACATTTTTCCATGTAACAGTATGCAGGCCAAAAAAATCACAGAGATGATAATGATAATGACACTTTTTTTTTGCATGTTGTCAGAGAACTTTTGGTTTAAGATTTTGTCCACAGTTTTTAAATAAATGAGTTAAAACATTTATATTTGGGTTGTTTCCTATTTTTTTTTTAAGAAAAGGGAAATCAAATTATATGCACAGAAGAATGATCCCGGTTTTTTAGGTAATTATTCAATGCTGTTCACATATAATTCATATCGGTATTGTATCAGAGGTGAAAAAAGTGGATCTGTGCATCCCTAATTCTTATATTTATTTTTTACTCATAAATTAAAAAAAATGCATCTTTGTTGATCTTGACATTTCCCAAACATACAGTCATCAATAAAAAAGGAGATTTTTAGTTCCTCTGAGTCACGTCTTTGATTTCTTACCCTGTTTTCTGGTGGGTAAAAGGTTGCCATTTATTTTTAAAACTGTTTAAGTGCAATATTTATATTTATGGGTTCCCAAAAGTGAGGAGAGTGATTATTTATTTAGTTTTTGCCTGATTTTCCAGGATTATCCGGATATGACCCTGAAGGTTTATAGAGAGCCAAAACGAATACATTTAAAACAATTGAAAATTCCCCTGAAAGAAATTAAATTAGCATTGAGTAATTAATTTGTTTTAATAGATATGCCAATAAACAACTAAATAGAGTTAAATAATAAAATGGCCACTTCAGTCATAATTACACTAAATTATGAAATGAAATGTTAGATTGAATAAATACCTTTGTTGAAAAATACAAATGAATATTTGACTTTAGAAATAAAGTGAATCAATGGACCTAACTCATCTTAATTGGCACTGATGGAAAGAGGCTTTAAAAAGCAGTAAATAATTGCACACAAACTTTTTATGATGTTTATTTTCTAATGTTATATATCATAAGTTTTGATTCTGGGTCTATAGGGCAGCAAGAGAACAATGCTTACTTAGCCTGGAAAAAACAGTCAAATAGTGTTACCTTTTAGGGATTTATAAATGTTTGTGGTTAATTCAGGTATTTCAGATTTGGAAGGTTAAGTTAATAAAAGCCAATGAGTGGACATATCCACTGATAACATCAGCACTACCTTTAAGGAATAAATCCAACTTATTAAAACAGAGAGGTCTGGCATCTTTTTTCTTTGTGAAAGATTCTAGCAATAGAAATGGATTAAACACTTTTCCAAATTAAATCATTCTGGAAGTTGGTTTGATCTTCTGTAATAAAGCTAATTTTATTACCCAGTTTAAGTAATCGTGGCTTTGTAAAAAAGGGACATTCCTTTACAGCTTTTTGTTACTTTCAAACTTTATTAGGGTAATTCTTTATTATTTACAATTAGCTGATCATGAGACGAATCAAGACATTTTTTAAATCATTCTTGATAGACATCGCATTTATTTAATTTAATTTCCTGTTGGCTTCAATCAAAGGAGATTAGAACCCGTTTTGAAAGATCTTTTTTTTTTTTTTTTTTTCAGAAATTAACTGTTTTGAGGCAAAGTCTAAGGGCTTTAACCCCTTGGCATGACGTTTAACAGTGACCTGCAGTGAACGCTCATGTTAACAGCAGGAGTTACATTCTGGGTTTAGTGTACAGAGAAACATATGCACAGTAGCTACTTTCTGTAAGCTTTAACCCAACTTATTATTTTGGAACATCATTTTTCATAGTCTGACAACATCTTGCTCCCTTTATTTTAGCCCTCAGAAGGTTAATCTTGACAATATGAAAAAAAATCCAAAATATTTTCCATATGCAGCTGAATTTGCTGTGCTAGAAGGTGTTTTATGTCACCCAGAGAGCAGGATCAACACAAAACCAGTGCAGGCCAAATAACAACAAAGGATATCTACTTTCCCTATCAGAGAACCAGGCTTCAAAATGTCTGATTGTGCTCGTTAATCAAACCCCCACCATCCTCACCTTAGCAACAAGACAGTAACTCCGACACGTCTGTATCCCTGACCTGTGTGCTGAGTTCCTGGTCTCTACGCTGGTTGTTCACTAACGTTCTGCAAAAAAATCTTTAAGGTCCTCACAGCAGATCTGGGTTTATACTAAGGTTACATTACACACTAATATCTATTAATTCATTAGGGGATTTATGTAGAAAATTTGTTGCATTTAATTTTTAAAATGGGATATAAAAATAAGGGCGTTATACAGACCCAAGGGCAATGCTATACTCAGGTTTCACAGGTCAGTATCATCTGTCACATGGATCCTCTCATACCTTCCTTTAGTTTGGGTGGGATTTCTTTCTTGGAAAGAGTATAATAAAATCCCTTTATTGTGGTGTTACAGCAGCAAAAGATTTTAGCAGAAGTGCTCACCCAATGTGGACCTTAGAAAGTGTATAAAATAACAGAGTTAATAATAATACATTTTATTTAACAGCACCTTTCTGGACACTCAAGGTCACTTTACAGGAAATAAAAAGATAAAAAGATGAAAATACAAATACAGGAACATAATAACAGTTATGGATAGGTAAAGGGCAGTGTATTCACAAATAAGCGAGCTGGAACAGATGGGTTTTTGAGTCTGACTTTGAATAAGGGGGGAGAGTCAATATTATGGAGGTCGGGAGGAAGTGAGTTCCAGAGCTGGGGAGCAGAGCGGCTGAAGGCTCTGCTCCCCATGGTGACAAGTCGAGCTGGGGGTACAGTGAGGTGGATGGATGAAGATGATCTAAGGGATGGGGAGGAAAATAAATAAGTACTTTACTGAACAGTGTTTTTAATTATAATTGCTCTGTATCTGGAGAGTAAATTATCAATAAACAGCTGTGGGTTATTTTTACAGTAATGGATATGTGAAAAATAGCAGCACTATCAGATGCAAACAGACAGCAGCATGTTATTTAACTAAGGTAGAAACTCTGCAAAATCAGCATGAATGTAACAACTTATTGAGGTTGTTGGGAAAAATGATGGTTGTAAAGTCTTACAGCTGCTGGGAGGAAGGGTCTGTGATAACGCTTCCTGGTGCGTTTAGGGTGCAGCAGTCTGTCAGTGAGGGAGCTCTCTAGTTCTGCAGCAGCTTCATACATAGGGTGGACATTATCCAACAGAGATGTTATTTTTGTTAGGGTCCATTTGTTTCCCACCTCCTGCATTGAGTCCAGAGGGCATGAAGTATCTAATAATGGTATTAATGAGGGTGAATTGACCAATTGCTCACAACTGAAGATATCTGATGCACAGATGATTATTTAAAACTGATATCTGGAAGCGACTCCTCTGATCAGAGGAATTGTGGCAACATGAGGTTATCCTTAGTGCTCTGAAAAAGAGCTGCAGACAGATAGCTTTTATGTTTGTTTTTTTTAATCATGTCCCGGCATTGTCTTCCAAGTTAATGCTATATAACTAACTGGTATTATAAACTGATAAACAGGGAATCTGCAGAACAATGTCGCAAGAGCTGCGCCTGTGATTAACACTAATGTAAGACTTTAATCGCTCCTTGATTGTGGTGACCTACTCTGTCAGAAAACTGTACCGTAACTTACTGCAGGAACTTCTTGGAGGAGACATGACAAATGGCCCAAGGTGTTTATCCGGCTCTCAATATCCTTAGATCTCACTTTGCTTCAGTATCTACATTATGGGCCAAAACCGAGCATGCACGCTCCTATCCAACATCATGATCGACTGAAAGAACCTGCTGCCACTGTCAATTTCACAGGTCCTGTTTCCTCTGGTCCACCATTTCATTTCATTTTTGAAAAACAGGATTTCTGAAATAAATAGGACTATGTAGGCCCTTTATTCTAAATTGTAAGAAAATTTAGAATAAAGGGCCTACATAGTGTCGATTTGGCAATTAGATCATAAAAATAATTTAATACATTTGTATGTGTGCTTTCTACAGAGTTTTATTATGTGTTTGGATATCCTCTGTGCTTCCTAAGAGGGTTTGTCCAAAGGATGCCTGTAATGCTTAAAGAAAAAAAATATCTAAAAATCATTTTCATACCTACTTAAAGCATAATAGTTAGAGGTATTAGAAAAAAAGGTTGGGTTAATGATTAAACTTTAGTCATTATCTAAAAACTAAAAACAAACTGTTAAGCTTTCTAGTCTATTTTTCCTCATTGTTTTGATCTGAGTCTTAGAACAAATAAGCAGCTAAAACGTTCTTTGTCAGTTCTTTTCTTCATTTTTCTCCACTGTACAGCTGTCTTAACGAAACAAGGTAGTATATTGGTAATGTTTGCGTGCAATTCCTATCACTTGGTTTTACATCCATTAGCTTCTGCCTCAATATTAGTTGCTATTTCTTTTTTTTATAGTTCTTGTTTTAATATGTTTTATTGTTTCTCAAATCTATAAAAACTAATATATCTCCTGTAAACCATGTTGGAGACACAGTAAACATGTTGAAAATGGTGAACTGATGAGATGAGACTAATGTGTAAATATCTGTGTCAGAACACTGATTTATTGTCCTAGTCAACACA